AAAAAGAAGAAGAAGAAAATGTCCTTTCCTTTTCCCTCAGTATCCAACCTATATCCAAGTGCTGTCCACTTCACGCTCTAAATCTCTCTCAAATCTATCCTTTTCTCCACATCCATCGCCATCACCTCGTACCAGGGTTTCTTAACCTAGGCACTATTGACATTTTTGGCAAGATAATTCTTTGTTGCAGGGGTTACATTACAGGATACTTTGGCTATATTCCTGGCCTTTATCTACTAGATACCAGTAACAGCCCTCTCTCACCAGGTGAGGCAATGAAAAATGTCTAAGATGTTACCAAATATTCCCTGGTGAGCAAAAGAGACCCCTCGTTGAGAATTGCTGCCTTATACAAGGTATCATCATTTCTTGTCCAGACTACAACAGCTTCATAGTATGTCTTCCTGCATGCAGTATATTACTATATCCCATCTACTAACCTGTTCTCCAAACTACAGCCAGAAAGATATTCCAACTCAGATCACATCAGTCCCTGCTTAAGATTAGCATTTCTCTTAGAATAAAATTCAAAATCCTTATTATTACTACAAGGTCTAGCTCTCACCTCTACAGATTCAACTTGTACCTTACTGTATCCTTCTCCCCCTCACTCTCCACTGTAGCCACACTGACTACCTCAAATAGGTCATTCTCTCTCCAGCCACCTGGCTTTGCCTCAGCTCCCTGCCAGCTCTTGTAGCAATCTGAGAAGTAAATTCTATTTAAAAATATAGATAGATTAGAGAGACAGAGAGAGAGAGAGAGACAGACAGACAGAGAGAGAGAAAGAGAGAGAGAGAGAGATCTGGGGCTTGACATGGTAGCTCATGCCTGTAATCCCAGCACTTTGGGAGGCTGAGGCAGGCACATCACTTGAGGTAAGGAATTTGAGACCAGCCTGGTCAACATGGTGAAACACCATCTCTACTAAAAATATAAAAAATTAGCCAGGTGTGGTGGTGAGTGCCTGTGATCCCAGCTACTGGGGAGACTGAGGCAGAAGAATTGCTTGAACCAAGGAGGGAGAGGTTGCAGTGACCAGAGATCACACCACTGCACCCCAGCCTGGGTGACTGAGTAAGACTCTGTCTCAAAAAAAAAAAAAAAAGGAAAAAAGATAGATTGATCTGAGGCCCTGGGTCAAAAGTGACCTAAAAAATAGTTGAATGCATTTTGATGGCTGAATAAGAGGGCACTCTTCTTTTTTTTCCTTCTCCCCCTCTCCACAGTTTTTAAATATAGTACTTTGAGTTGCTGTTTTAAGAAAAGGACATTCTTTCTCTGGGACAGGGTACACAGAGATCAGTGATAACCACAAGGAGAAAAGATAGAAGACAATGTGCTAAAAGAGTCACAAAACCAGGTCAGGTGTGGTGGTTCACTCTTGTAATCCCAGCACTTTGGGAGACTAAGGCAGGAGTTCAAGACCAGCCTGGCTAACATGGCAAAACCCCTTCTCTACTAAAAATACAAAAATTAGCCAGGTGTGGTGGTGCATACCTGTAGTCCCAGGTACTCAGGAGGCTGAGGCAGGAGAATCTCTTGAACCTGAGAGGCAGAGGTTGCAGTGAGCCGAGATCACACCACTGCACTCCAGCCTGAGCAACAGAGTGAGACTGTCTCAAAAAAAAAAAAAGTTACAAAACCTAAGTTCTAGTCCTTGTTTTGTCATTCACTAACCATGCGATTTGTTTTTAATTTACATACAAGAATGTAACTTTTTTTAGCCTACAGTTCTATGAATTTTTAGCACATATAACCACCACTACAATCAGGATACAGCAGTTGCATCCTGAGGCTGCCCCTTGGTAGTCAAACACCTCCTCACCCCGGACCTTGGCACTCACTGCTCCATTCTTTGTCTTACAGTTTTACTTGTTCCTGATATGCTTAGGCTCTCTGAGTTTTTTCCCCCACAAATCAAATTACACACACACACACACACACACACACACACACACACGTCATCTTTGTTACATAAAAGTATTATGTTATTTATGATGATTGTCTGCTGTGGCTAAAAAACCTGGTATATGACAAGCATCCCATCCCTTCAACAGTTTATATTTAGAAAAGGCGTTCTCTAGGTTTGGCCAATTTTTGCAATTCTGCATCTTGAACTTTCAGTCTTCTCCAGAAGGGTGGCTCCAGCTCAGATTTCTGCAGGCTACCCTAATGGATGAGTAGCTTTGTTTACTCCTAAAAAGCTAAGAGCTGCAAAATATTCCTTAACCCCTCTTTGTATCTGTCCTTCCTCAGTTAGTTAACCACATTGCTGTAGTCTAAGCAGTCTAATTATCCTTTCAGCAGTCTTTGCTAAGGGGCTTCCAAAATTTTTCTAGCTCTTTGCTATTTATGAGCATAGCTCATCACTGAATGTCTAAAGGTAATACTGATGCCACTGTCAAATCAACACATCAGCGATATATAGTAGAGAAGCCTCACTTCCAACTAGATAGATGATCTAATATTAAAAAGCTCACTCCCTTGGCTCCCTTAGCATCCCATAGGGTTGCTAACATTAGTAAATCACAAGAATGCTGTGTATAACATTATATGGATTTTAATAAGTACATCTGCAAAATTACTCATAATTCTTTTGTAGTGTAATGGATGAGGTATAACTATAATTGTTTGAATAACTGGATCCAAAATGTGTTGATTTGTTAATGATGTCTCCCTAAGATAAGGCCTCCAGTGGATTGCTACAGGTAACTTAATTCAGTTCTATCTGATTTACACATTTTAATTAAGGAAGGGCTGAAGATACAGAAACATGATTACCAAATGGATAAATGTCATAGTAGGGATAGCCAAAAAAATTATGTTAGAATCTTACTTCAAAAATACTTCAAACATACTCCATTTGCAAAACAAAAATAAATAAATAAAAACAAAATTTTTTTTTTTTTTTTGAGACGGAGTTTCGCTCTTGTTACCCAGGCTGTAGTGCAATGGCGCGATCTCAGCTCACCGCAACCTCCGCCTCCTGGGTTCAGGCAATTCTCCCGCCTCAGCCTCCTGAGTAGCTGGGATTACAGGCAAGCGCCACCATGCCCGGCTAATTTTTTGTATTTTTAGTAGAGACGGGGTTTCACCATGTTGACCAGGATGGTCTCGATCTCCTGACCTCGTGATCCACCCGCCTCGGCCTCCCAAAGTGCTGAGATTACAGGCTTGAGCCACCGCGCCCGGCAAAACAAAAATTAAAATTAAAAATACTTTAATAAAAATCAATAAAATGGAACAACGTAGACTAATAAGCTGAAATGTAATAGGGAGAAAAAGAAATCCACAAACACAAACACAAATCCACATACACAAACATGGAATGAGAGAGACCTAGTTTCACAGCAGGCTACATAATAAGATCTGTTAGTAATTTTAAATTCAATATACACCACCAATGTGGCATAGCTTACTTTTTAAAAAAAAGTTCCCGCTATCACATTACAGACTTACTAATGAATTCCATGTTACTAATTGCAATGGTTAATTCTCAACCTCATTTTCAGCTTGTAGCAGCATTTAACAGAAGTAATCATCAATCCTTTTTTGTACTACTTTTCTTTTCCTCACTTGACACTCTCCTGGTTCTCCTCCTACCTCACCAGCTGCTCTTTTTTTCCTGCCTCCTTTAGGACTGATGACTGCCAAATGCATCTCTCCAGACCAAACCTTTCCAATGAAGTCCAAACTCTTATATGCATCCCCCTGGTCATCACAGAAACCCCTACCTCCACCCTCCTACCCAAATCTGCTTTTTCCATAGTCTTCCCCATCTCAGTCAACAGCAACTTCATCCTTCCAATTGTTCAGGTCAAAACCTTTGAGTCACTCTTGATCTCTCTCTTTTTTTTCACATCCTAATCCATTCCACCAGTAAATCCTGCTGACTCTGTCTACAAAGTATATCCAGAACCTGCCCACTTCTCACCACTTTACAGCTTAGTCTCCTAAATGGTCTCCTTACTCTGAAACCCCATACTCACATTCTATTCTCAACACTGAAGCCAGAGAGATCTTTTTAAAACATGCAATCTTCCAATGTTCATTCTAAGACTATTTACTGAGAACCATCTATGTGCAAGACAGTTATAGGTGCTGAGAATAAATTTGAGAACAGAAGAGATAAAAATCATTGCCCTCATGAAGCTTTTGTATCCTGGAAGGCAACAGACAAGAAACCATAAATATAATAAATAAGTAAATTATATGGTAGGTCCATAGTGCTATAGGTAAAAGAGAGAGCAGGGTAAATGGAAACAGTAGCAAGAAAAAAGGGGTGTGTTGTAGGTTCAAACAGGGAAAGAAGTCTAGGCTTCACTGGCAATGTAACTTTTGAGCAAAGACAAAGGAGGTAAGGGCTTAGCCATGTAGATACCTGTAGAAACAGCACTCCAGGCAAAAAGATGTTCCCATTAAGTCTTTCAGGAAATATTTTTGGATCCTTAGACCTTTAACTAAGTACATGATGGGCTGAAAGATGCAAGATTTTAAACTTGTTGTTTTTAATCTAAATATTACTTGTATTTTAATTTTAAGTACTTTTCTAATAAGCCACAAGTGCTTTTTTAGACATTATAATTTAAGTGAAGTATTAGAAACTATTCATGCAAGCAAGTTTTCAGTCTTTTTCTAAAATTTAATTATGACTTTCATCTTTCATTTGGTTGAGTTTTGCTTATGGCCCATAAAAAGCAGTCCAAAAGACCTGCATTTTTTGATAAGCAAATATGACATATCTAATATTTAGGGGAAAGAAACAAAAAAAAGCAAGTATACCAAACATGGGAATCAACTAGCTTTAGCTTGATAAGAATATAAAACTTTTCAAATAGAAACGCCAACTGATTTTTCAGATTAAGCCAATTATAAAATTAATAATAAGCAAAATCATCAGATTTATGAACACAATAAACTTAGTAAAAATTACGGATTTTTAAAAGCTTCTTAGTTTCCACCTAATTGGATGAGACTAGCACAATGTTTGTTTTTACCTTCCGGTGGCCTGTTGGATGTTGCCACAACGACGACCCCGTTTTTGAACAGATTTTCAAAAAGCTGTTTCAGAATCATGGCATCAGCAATGTCAGTGACCTATTGACAACAACACATTTGTTTTATTTTAATTTCACTTCTGCTCTAACAAATTTGCTAATGGAGCATCTTTTTTTTTTTTAAGATGGAAGTAAATTCCAAGGGAAAAATTCTAATTACCATCATGAAGAAAAGAGTAGATAATTAAAAGCATGAAACACTGTATAGCAGTCCTTTAAACTTGACTCTTCTTTTTTGCAAGCCTATCATTTCTACACAAATTACCAAATGGTTCTATGATAACTTCTTTTATAGAAATACAGGTGGAAAGCATAGATAATTATCCTAAACATTTAGGAAGTCTAATTAATTAGAACTAACATGACCAATACCCTCCTCCTCTTCCTACCCATTTCCCACCACCCCCCACCCAAAAAAGAGAGATGAAAAAATAGTAATAATAAAATACACAGGCTGTTTGAGATTTCTAATACCTTTCTGGCAAAGGTCCCTGGAAAGGTGACTTTAAATGGTCATGGGCCTTTAGAAATAAGGACAAGTAGCCAGTGAGACATAATCAGCTGCTGTTGAAAATAGAATGATATGACATAGATACTATTGTGCAATTGTTGCACAAAACAATTCAACAGATGGCCCATCACAAAAATAAGCAATTTCATTGTTCTTTTTAAGTGCCTTCTATTACTGTCCATGAATAATCAAAAGGCACTGCAGTCACTTCCAGCACAGCCAGCCTCTGCTAACCTTCACAAACACAAATATTCCTTCTACCAAAAAAAAAAAAAAAAAAAAAAAAATCTTTCAAGAATGGCTAATATAGTCCCTTAAAAAAAAAATTTGTGACAATACTAGAAATGCATAATACAGATAAAACTATTCCGTCCAAGTTACGTTACAGAGAAATACAACTATTGATCTTCCCTAAAATTATTTTTTAAATTCAAGTTACAAAGTAAGCTTTATGATGTAACTTTTTCTAAAGGCTTTTAAAATTCACAAAGAAAGGCAACAATTAAGGAGGGAAGGAAGCTGACACCAAAAATAAATGTGTAATGAAGACTGACATCAATCATTGCAACTTTCCCTAAGTATTAATAACATGGGCTTTAATACTTCTAGTGTAAAAATATTTTGATCTTTCTTTGATAGCACATTTCAAATAATCTCAGGATAACTTGCTTTACATATATCCACAAGGATAGAGTACACTGTTATTTTTAAACCCCATTAGAGGACATAGAAATTGGTGAATTCTTTCAATTAAATCAAAATACTAAAAGTTACAAACTGAATGGTTATAGCACAATTAACAATAACCTGGGTTGTAAAGGTCTAAATCACTTTTCTCTTTACAACGAATATCTTAATTAAAGGTTTAATTATTTCTTTCCCACCTAAACAAAATAAAACAAAACCATGAAATAGGGATTTACAGATTTTTTTTTTCTGTCTCAGGTTCTTAACTAAAAAAACTGTTAAAGATTCCTTAAACTAAAAAGACTTCTGGAACTTCAAAAATAGTGAATAAATGAAAAGGAAAGTAGTGCTGATATTATTTAATTTGGAGTTTAGGATCACTGTCAAATTTGGCTTCCGCAAAAGCACTGACAGAGAAAGTCCTTTTCAAATGCTTGAACACCATTGGCATTTCTGATGAGAGGACAGAACGAGCTTGCACATTTTAATAGCAACTGCACTTTTAAATTACATTGCCAATACACTGACTTTTTAAAAGAGTGATATCAATGAAAGGTTTCCTGATTTTAGAGAATAAAAATGGTCATTTGACTATATCATTAATGTCTCTGAAAAAAATGTAAAAAAGCTTTTGTGCCCTTAGGTTTAGAAAAGTGAAGGGACATTTAGCTTATAACACAATGTAAAGGTTTAAACTGAAAGTTGAAGAAAGCAAACAGTAAAGGCTTGTGGTTGAGTTACAATTTCTGTTTTTATATTTCAGAATGCTTTTGCCCTATCAGAGTAAATGAGCTTGGAAAAGCTATGACTAATTAATAAAGCAGGAGTCACTTGGTGTAGCCGGGTGCCAATGTATACTCTTTTGATCTTGTCCTTGCACTTGTTCGGCCTTGCCGGGGAACAGTAATTTTACAGTATAAGTGAACAGAAGACAATTGGCCACACATTCTTGGAGAGCTGGCTTTTTCAGCACCCAGCATTTCATTACCACCACGAACAAAAGAGAAGGCTACAGATTACCAATAAGGGTAGTCTGCTAATACAGAGAGTGGAGACATTTCATTAGCATTAAAGAGAAAAGATTTTTTTTATAACCTAGAGTTGCTTTCCATTATGATTCACTTAAGTAAAAAAGAAAAAAAAAATCTAATGGTTAATTTACATGTGTGAGTGCTTGAGTCTCAGTCATCCACTGATTGGTACAGTGCCATATAATGAGTGACAAACATAAGCATGCATTATCAGTAATTAGGATTAGCACAAAAATAAGCACCTATTTTTTATTAGCAGTTTTTAATAGCTTTCTTCCTGCTTCATAAAAGTGGTTAAAACTATTTTTTTTAATGATATTGATAGCTTATAGAGGAGAATTTTGCATGATCTTCTGCTCATCAGAATTATTTTTTTTTCTGGTCCCATATGAGTAAAATATCCATTCAGTGTCCCTCTCAGAAGAGATATGAAGAAATACATTTTAAAAAATCAGTTTTTCCCACTATTCTGATATCTTCAGAATCATAAACAGTTTAACATGTAACATAAATACTCCAAGAGGACATAATAAAGGGTCTAAGGAAAACTCTGAAGACAAGCTATTATTTATTTCACTAACCAAAACATACTTTTGAAAAAAACCTATTCAAACACATTTTTCAACCAAGATAAGAACTGTGTATCTAACACCTCAGGTGAAACTGAAATACTTGAGGGTAGAAGGTGGAAGGAGAGGGAAGAGCAGAAAAAAGAACTATTGGGTACTAGGCTTAGTACCTGAGTGATGAAATAATCAGTACAGCAAACCCTCATGACACATGTTTACCTACATAACAAACCTGCACACATACCCCTGAACCTAAAATAAAAGTTAAAAAAAAAACTGAAATACTAGAACTACACTTAGTAAGGAGACCAAGCCAATGAAGAACACGTTCTGCAAATGTAATCTGAATGCTTATCAAAACATAAGCTTTAAAATTCCTTAAATTCAAGAGCACAAAAAGGAGTCTATCCATGTTTTTAAGCAGCAAAAATTCCCATTCATCTCCCTAGTAAAATATATATATTAATTAACATCACCTAAAGGCCAATAACAACTAGCTAAAAATCAAGGCTACTAATACGATTCCATTTTTAAAGTTAAGTGGTGACTGTAGACATACTGCCACTAAGAATAAAGTGCCTTAAAAATTCTTTTATAATAAATCAGCAAGTATTGTACTAGGCTTAATAGGCTTAAGGATAATTTTTAGGTTCCATCACTAAAAAATCTAACAAAACCCCACACAGCTCTAGAGCTGTATATTTAAACACATAATACAAAGACTTTATATACCAAGGAAAATGTATATATAGCATCGCTGTCACTGGTAAACAAGAGCATTAGTGCTGGACTTAAACTGTTAGTCACCAGCTGTGTGACCTTGGCCAAGTTACTAAACCTCCCTGACCCTCAATTTCCCCATCAATGGAATGAAAGCAGTAATAATATCTACCTTGCAAGTATTGTTATGAGACATAAAGTAAACTGCCAAGAAATAAGAGACTATTAACTTTGACTATTTCCTATGTATGGGGTATATGCTAGTATTAATATAATTCTATATTATTAATGCATAGTTATGTAGAATTTTAGCTGTAGCTGGAATTATATTTAGCATTATACAGTTATTGAGAACATAGGTACACAGAAAAACAATAAATAGTAACTAATATTATAGAACATATATAGAAGATGGAATATAAGCATTCTAATAAATAAATAATACCTCAAATAGTTCATAAAAGATGGATTTAACTAGTATGCAAACAAACATGAAAAAAAAAATCAACCACATTATTTCCTAAAAGAATACAAGTTAAAAGAAACCACCACTTTTTATGTATTAAATTAGACAAAAATGTTCAGATAATTCAGAATGATGACAGGAAAAAATGTGGGTTGAAGTTATAATATACCTTGGGTTCTGTAAATGCTGATTTTGCTTGAGAAATGCTATCATATGTAAGGGGAGTGGGACTTAACAGGGGAACCACTTCCATAGTTTTCATTTGGTATTAGATTCATTCATTCATTCATTCATTTATTCACTATTCATTCTTTCTCAGACACTGTTCTAGAAACCTGAAATACATCAATTAATAAAGATTCATGCCTTCAAGTCTATATTCTGGGAAGAAACACAGATAAACAATAAACATAATAAATAAGTAAATTATATATAATATGTTATAAGGTGATTGTATGATATGGGATAAAAGGCAGGTAAGGGGCATGGGAAACCTGGGGGTCAATGGCAAACTGAAATTTTAAATAGGAATTTGAAATAGGCCTTGTTAAGGAGGTAATTGAGCAAAGACAGGAAGAAATGAGGGAGTTGCTCTTAGGAATATGTAAGGGTGTGAGGGAAATCACACAGCAACAGCTGCTGGCTAGCCATTAAAAGCAGAACCCAATGGCTCAAGCCTGTGGCCAGAGATAAGAGCTTAGAGGCATAGCTCTTGCTTTTAAGATGGGACTCCTCACTTCCTGCTGCTTCCTTTACTTTAAATGAATCATTCAGGCTTTTGCTCCCAAACATAGTGACCCACATCCTATTCCTATACATATATGTGTATATGTGTATGCACACACACACACACACACACACACACACACACACATGCTGTTCATTGCTATACTCTCTCTCTGCCTGACTCTTCATTCCTGCCTCCTGTGACTTAGAATGGAGGACTGTCCTTCTGACTAGTTGCTCCCTCCCTGTCCAGCATCTGTAAATAATCAATCTTTGAACTTATTTTCTATTGTAGTGGTGTATTGACTTGCACCTTCCATCTGAAGAACTAGGGTCTGCCCCAGGCAGGATTTTCCTGGGATGCCAAGAACACAGTATCAGACTCCCAGTGCGAGAGCAATGGTTAGACAGGCATAAACTGGACACAGGTCAGACAAGAGCCACAAAATTATCTGCCAGTATAAACAAGCTTCCTGTGTGTGGGAATCCCTGGGCATGGATCAGACAACCAGGCATTAGGCCACCCTCCAGGTGAAAGAAGTATTCTGTGAAAGGCACATTATAAACACCTATGTCCAGCTCCCTGCATTTCCTATTAGGGCAGAGTTACCAGCTGTTCTGGTGCTAGAACCCAATTGAGGCAGGGGCTCTCAGAACAGAAGGACTACTCTGTGCAGAAAGAATGCCTAGTGCAAAGGCTCTGCTTGTTTGTTATAAATTGTATGGATAGTAGGAATCGGAGTGCGGGTGCAGCAACATTTTGGAGTATATTTCACCTTCTTGAATTTTAGGGGAGGGGGATAAGTAGAGATTTGAACTTGTGATCATCTAATTTTGGTGTACTGAAGAAGCTTCTTTAAGACCTGTGGAAGATAGTTCAGGACACTGAAACTAGCAGAGATCACTTCTTCCCTTAGGGGGCACATTCTTGTCCTTCTATTTTCACTTTCTCTGGCTCCTTCCAATACTGGGTAGATGCAAATATCGGCCTTTTCTTGCATGCAGCAGTAAGCTCCAAGATTTCAATTTGGAATTGTAAAGGAAATGAAAGAGCAAGACTATTAACATTTTGCATTCTAGGACATTCAGGCCAAACTTGCTCAGGGGAATAGGGTCTCCCATGTTGTCAACTCTAACAAATAAGAATGTTGTTATTATGCAATAATTGGAAATGAGAAAAAAAAAACATGCTACACTAAAATTTGGGATAAAATGAAAGCAATCAATTTGGCATTGTCTTGTTTTGTCATCTCTGTGCATGTTTTCTTCAGAGCCCTGTGGGAAATAAGTAGTTGGTATAATGACCAACTACTAACTGTGGTTCCTTAATCTATGAAGAAAATAGGATTGGGAATGGTAGGGAGCAATGAGCGAGGCTGAACCTGTAAGACAGAAGGTCAGAGAGGAAGCAGAAGGGTTTGAGCAAGGGAAATGACACAATCTCATATAATAGAATATATATAAAATATATATATCATATATTATATATAATAGAATATATTATATATATATCATATATTATATATAATAGAATATATAATATATCATATATTATATATAATAGAATATATAATATATCATATATTATATATAATAGAATATATAATATATATTCTATTATATATAATAGAATATATAATATATATTATATATAATATATATTATATAATATTATATATAATATATATTATATAATAGAATATATAATATATATTATATAATAGAATATATAATATATAATAGAATATATATATAAAATATTTTCCCGTTAGAGTACAAACCCTTTTAAATTGGGTTTTCCGTTTCCTATGGCCTAAAGCATTCCTAGTAGATATGTCATCTTTCTCTTCCTTTCGTCAGTTAATTCTACTTCCACTGGAGGTAACAGATTTCATATTAAGGAAAGTAACATTTCCTCATAGTTCTTCTTACCAATATTTATGCTGTCTTTTACAGATCACAGGGAAATACCTCTCAAAATAGCAGATAGGAGCAAAACATGAGTTGAATAGTTCTATTCTCATCAAGACTGCAAGAAATAGGCACCAGAGATCCAGCTGAAGAAAAGAGATTTACTTGAAACTCCAGGATTGGGACAATACTGATGGCACCTTATGGGAACTGGAGCTGGGGATTGGCTTGGAATTGGAGGTTGCTCTGGAGAGCTCAGCAGCTGTCTAGGGATCACCCTGGTACTCCTTCCCTTAAAGTGATTCAATTGCTTTCTATATCTCTTTGTTTCTGTTTCATTAGTAAGAGGAGCTTCCCTCTGTGACATTTAGTTCAAATTCATGAGAAAGGGGCTATGACTGACCCATTCTCCACGCCACACCACACGAGTCCAAGATTGCTGACAAGCTTGTGGATTAGCTACTCATAGATCAGCTGTCCAGGCATGGTCCATTTAGCTGTGGGACAGATAGGGCTCTGTCTTGTGATAGGGAATAAGGGCCTTCAAGGAAACTGAGATGAATGAGTCGATGAATGAATAAATATCAAAGCAATCTGCATAGGGTAGGCAGTAACAGGCATCTCTATCACATCTGCTTTCTCCGCATCAGCAAGCAACATTTTATAAGAGCCTGTCTCCCCTGGATCTCTCTTATACTCAATATGTAATCTGAAAAGTCCTTTTTGTGGCATTTCTTTTGCAAGACTCAGCTCATTTGGAACGTTAGTGTCCTGATAGTTGTTTTTGTTTCCTTCTTTCTGTCTACATATCAACCTTTGGAAATCTGAATCCAATGGAGTATGTCAGTACAACCAGGCAGGTTTTTGGTAGGACTTCACTAACAAGGTGGCATTATGACTCTTGTAAGCCCTAGAAACTTTTACTTTCATGAGTCCCGTCCTCAATTAAAAAAACATTACAGCTATGTTGGTATAAGAACAAATCTAATACAGAACAGATACAGGCTGGAGTCATTATTGTTATATTCATTTATGTCTTCAAATTTTAAAAGAAATTAAAATATTTTCTTGATCCCTGAAAGTATCATGAGCCCTTGACACTGTGTCTGCTGCACCGACTGGTCAAGGTACCCTGTTTGCTCTGTATCTTCTCTAGGATCCCCAGCCAGAATTTCATAGCATCCTAACCATCTTAGTCTTGCCTTCCAATAACACTTATGCCCTAAAAACATGCCAATAATTTCTCTGAAAGTTTTGAAATCTACATTTTTAAAGTTAAGGGTAATGATTTTTACATGATACCTAGGAAATTCTAATGCCTTTATCTCTCTCATCTCTATATGGAGATATCAACTATTCTGCAGAATTACATGAGATAAGGATGCAAAAATGCATTGTAAACTATGGATCATTTTACAAGGCTGAGTATTAATATGCCTCTTAAAAATTAATTTTAATACCTTAATCAAAAATGTAACTATGCCAGTTCAGTTTTATTTAGAGATATTTTGGTTAAAAGGCTAGTAATAGAAAATCAAGAGAAATAGCTCCTATTGATTCATCACTGACTTTTGTTCTTGAAAGCAGCATAACTGTTAACTCAGAGCTTTTTCAAACAACTCAGTGAGGCCCTTTTTCTGCAAAACATTGATGTGGTTAGTATGCCTCTTCAGAGCGGCAGGAGAGCATCTGTTTTCCACAAAGCCTTTCCTTGGAAGACCTTTGCAGTTCTAAATACAAAAGTAAGTCCAGTCTGTCTTACTATAACTGAAGGAAGAAAGAAGCAAAGATCCCTCTTCCCCAGATGGTTTAGTGTAACAGCATTACTGGTGAAAATTCTTTCTCCTCCATCATAAATCTAGACTATTGTTAGGTATGTGTACCAGTTGCTAAAGGAGACCAGTCATGCATGATTTGGGATAAAAGCATCTTGGCCATAGCATCTTCCCACTAATCCGGATTATAAAACACAGAAGAACAGGAAATAACTCACTAACAATTTAAATGCATAATTTCAGGGAATCCTAAAACTAAGAGAAACTTTAAAAGTTCAACTAAGGCAATTCCTTCCCTTTATCACAGATAATGTGTGTTGTGAGGCTTAAATAAGATGAATCACTTGTTCTTTACATAACACTTTTTAAAAATACTCAAACATCTTTAAATACATTGTTTAATAATAATTACATTAACTTGGTGGTATAGGGGAGATGCACGGTCATCAACCAAAATTTAGAGGTGTGCAGACTTTTTCTATAAAAGCCTGAATAGTAAATATTTTAGGCTTTGCAAGCCACATAGGGTCTCTGTTGTACTTTCTTCTTTTTCTTCTTCTTCTTTCAGCTACCTTTAAAAATATAAAAACTTGGCTGGGCATCATGGCTCATGCCTGTAATTTTAGCACTTTGGGAGGCTGAAGCTGAAGGATCACTTAAGGTTAGGAGTTTGAGATGAGGCTGGGAAACAGAGAGAGTCCTAATCTCTACAAAATTTGTTTTAAAAATTTGCTGGGTACAGTGCTTGAGCCTACAGTTCCAGCTACTCAGGAAGCTGAGGCAGGAGGTTGAACCCAGAAGTCTGAGGTTATAATGAGCTATGATAATGACACTGCACTCCAGCCTGGGCCTGGGTGACAGAGCAAGATCCTGTCTCTTAAAATATATGCGTGTGTGTGTGTGTGTGTGTGTGTGTGTGTGTGTGTGTGCGTGCAGGAATGTGTGTATATAAATTCTTCTTTTCTCGCTAACCATAAAAAAACAGGCAGGTCAGATTTGCCCTGTGCAGCTGTGCAGATTGTGGTTTGCCAGCTCCTGAACTAGAGAGTAAAATTGAAGCAGTAAGAGACAATGTGTCAAATCACCTTATAAAACAATGACAAAATCAGGAACAAAATTTAAATATTCGTACCTCATTCAATATACCATTCTATATCTATGAAAAATCTCTACTTTACCTGAAATTCATCAAAACATAAGAGACATGCTTCCTCGCTGATTTCTTCAGCTATGGGAGCTATTGGGTCATAGGATTTAGCCATGAATCCTGGTTTCCTTTTTGGCAAACTTTGTTTAAGGCGATGTATTCCTTAAATGAATGAAATTAAATACAGATAAAATATATTAGTACATTTTAGATAATTATAACATATTTTTTAAATCTCTAAATGAAACTTTAGTATGGACATAAAATTAAGTTCAAATTCCACATATAATCAAATTTGATTATTTAAATTGTTTGCATTTTCTTATCTCAAAATAAGTTGTTCAAATATTATTATGTCCTTATAGTTGTAAGGAAACTTCAAGGTCATTCCATTTCTACTCTTCAATCATTTCAGAAATGACAAGGTAATAGACAAGTGACTAGATGCATCAACACATCCATCTTAGTCCTGTATTTCGGGAATGAGAGCAGAGGATGTGATCCTGCCCAAGCAGTGCATGTTATGTCTGGCATATGGAATCGGAATGTATCCTTGTCTCTAGCCTAATATACTAACCCCAATCCACTTCATTCATTATGTGTGTACTAAATGCTGCAGGTATTAAAGGAAAAAAACAAATGATTCCTGCTCTGGGGAGGTTATAGTGCAGCTGGTAGACAAATCCTGCAAACATGAAATAACGTAAGATCCCTAGCAAAGCAATAAAGTTCACATGCATACTCAAACTGAATGCCTACATGCTAAGGTAACACAGAGTAAAGGACCTAATCAAGAATCACTTCTTTAAACAGGTGCATTTTTAACATTTTTTATTGACCCTTAGTAGAAACAGAAAATCCCTGAGCTTGATATAGCAATCTCTGTTCTCTGATTTAAAAGTATTAAATTGGTTTTGAGGACCAGCTCTGGACACATTACTAACTGTTTCAACATAGCACAAAACAAGTGGAACCAAATAAAATCTTACTGCAAGCAAAAATCTAATTTTTAAAACGAGTATATGTTCATTCAATGAAGAAAACCATTTTGTATTGTTTCCCCACTAAAAAAATCACTTCTTTCAGATGATTGCTTACTTTTGTGCACATCTAGCATGAAACCATGAAAATGAACCCGTTTTTTCCTCTTCATTTCCACATAAGCATAAAACATGTCCATCACCATTGTTTTTCCTGTACCTTAAAAATAAAAAATAAAAAAAATTAAGAATACTATTCAACAGTATGTACTGATTGCTGTAATGATGGTTCATTAGCTTTGAGATAATGAAACCACACTCTTCCACTGGGAAGCTGAAGACTATGTCACTTCTTTAGAAGGGGGAGTTTACTTTGTATATTAAACTAGCTAACAATAAAATATTGATATTAATCTTTTCTGTTAAAATTCTGTTTTTAGGAAATACAACATTTAGTTAATATTACAGGGGCTATTTCACCCTGAAAACTACTTTCATAAACTGGCAAGATTTAGTCTTCTCTTCTAAAAGACACTAGCACAAATAAAATTATTTAATTAATTAAATATTTATTGGGTCATTACTGTGCATGAAGAACTGTTTTAGGCACATGAGAAAATTCAAAAATGAAAAATAAGAAAAGGGGCTGGGCATGGTGGTTCACACCTGTAGTCCCGGCACTTTGGGAGGCTAAGGTGGAAGGGTTGCTTGAGCCCATGAGTTCAAGACCAGCCTGGGCAACACAGTGAGAACCCACCTCATTAAAAAAAAAAAGAAGAAGAAGAAGAAAAGAGAAGAAAGGTGAAAAATAAAGATTAGTATCTAACATAAATATTGAAAAGGAATCATATATGTAGATTAGAGCTGGAGAGCTGCCAATTAAAACACTTCCATTTTTTAAAAACTGAGAATATAGATCTCTCAAAATAAGGCCTACTTGAGGAAATTCTGATACAGTCAATTCTTAGAATTAAATTATCTAATTTTCAACACTCTAAAACTTTTAATCACTACAATTGCATTAGTACCATAGAACCCTCTTATCTGAGAATTCAGTTACCCAAAGCCCATCATCAACCACAGTCCAAAAATATTAAATGGAAAATTCCAGAAATAAACAATTCGTAAGTATTAAATTGTGCAGCTATCCTGAGTAGCACGAAGAGACCTCACACCACCCCATTCCATCCCACCCAAGACATAAATTACACCTCTGTCTAGCATATCCACACTGTATTCACTACCCTCCCGTTAGTTATTTAGTGGCCTTCTCTGTTAAAAACACAGATATACAGGGTTCAATACTATGTGAGCTTTCAGGCATCCACTGGAACTATCCTCTGTGAATAAAGGGAAACTACTGTAGTTGAATAGCCAACAGCCTGAGCATTTAATGCAGGTATGCACAGAATGCCTTATTCCCTCACAGAAAGTCTAAGGCTTTCGGGTCAGTGACCCAAGCTCAGTTTATACCTGGCATTTCTCAGTAAGCCAGGCCAGCATGTGCTGGTTGAGTCTCAAATCCTCCCTACTTCCCCGTCTCCCACCACCACAAGATTACTTCCTGTCTAGTATTCCTTTGCAATTACTAGAATCCAAAGGCACTTCAGGAAGTTAAAAGATCTGAGTCCTATCTTTTGGGTTTCCTCCATGCCACAAGAGAACACTGGGTCCATGCCATTTGAATGTCAGAGTGTTTTTGTATATGGACAAATAATTCACCAGACTTTTTTTTAATGAAAAAGTCACTTTGATGGAAAGTCATTTATTGCAAAAATATTCAGTACAGTATCTCTTGATATACTGATTAGCAGTAGATTTAAAATAATTGTATTTACCCAGAAGAGTTAATAAAGTTTCACATTCTGATGCATGCAGTGTAGTATACTTATAGATTCAGAATAAAGTCATGAACCATCTAACCAAAAATGTATTCACTAATCATTAGGGTAAAGCAAATTAAAACTACAAGATACCACTTTACAAACATTAGAATGTCTATTACAAAAAAAAAAAAAAAAAACAGAAAATAAGAAGTGTCAGCAAGGACGTATAAAAATGGGAACCTTGTGCATTGTTGGTGGAAATAATAATGGTACTGTCACTGTGAAAAACATTATGGTAATTGTTCAAAAAATTAAACACAGGCTGAGTGCAGTGGTTCACACATAATTTCAGCATGTCGGGAGGCCAAGGAGGGAGAATCGCTTGAGCCCAGGAGTTCAAGACCAGCCTGGGCAACATAGCAGGATCTCATCTCTACTAAAAATTTTAAAGCTTAGCCAGGTGTGGTGGCGAAAGCCTGTAGTCCCAGCTACTCGGGAGGCTGAAATGGGAGGACTGTTTGAGGCCAGGAGTTCATGGTTGCAGTGACCTATGATAGTGTTACTGCACTCCAACCTGGGCAACAGAGAGAGACTTTGTGTCCAAACAAAAAAAGAAAAATTAAACATAGTGTGACCATAGTATCTAGCAATTCCACTTCTGAGTGTATGCACAAAACAACTGAAAGCAGGGATTCAGAAGCTTATTCTTCAATATTCACAGCAGAACTATTCACAATAGTCAAAAGATGGAACAACCCAAACATCCATTAATGGATGAATGGATAAACAAAAAGTGGTATACACATAAAATGATACAATTGGCCCTCTGTATCTATTTCCGCATTCCCAGATTCAACCAAGAGTGGATCAAAATTTTTTTTTTTTTTGAGATGGAGTTTCTCTCTTGTTACCCAGACTGGAATGCAATGGCGCAATCTCGGCTCACCGCAACCTCCGCCTCCTAGGTTCAGGCAATTCTCCTGCCTCAGCTTCCCTAGTAGCTGGGACTACAGGCGTGCACCACCATGCCCAGCTAATTTTTGTATTTTTAGTAGAGACAGGGTTTCACCATGTTGACCAGGATGGTCTCGATCTCTCGACCTCGTGATCCACCCGCCTCGGCCTCCCAAAGTGCTGGGATTACAGGCATGAGCCACCGCGCCCGGCCCAAAAATATTTTTAAAATAAAAAATACTGTAAGGAACAGGTGCAGTGGCTCACGCCTAAAATCCCAGCACTTTGGGAGTCTGAGGCAGGCAGGATCACTTGAGCCCAGGAATTTGAGAACAGCCTGGGTCACATGCCAAAATCCCGTCTCTACAAAAACAATATGAAAATTAGCTGGGCATGATGGTGCATGCCTGTAGTCCCAGCTACTCAAAAAGCTGAGGCAGGAGGATTGCTTAAGCCTGGGAGGTAGAGGTTGCAGTGTGCTGAGAAACCAGCCACTACACTCCAGAGTGGGTGACAGAGCAAGAACCTGCTTTAAAATAATCATCATCATCATCATCATCATTATATTAAAAAAATATATAGCATAGTAACTATTATAACATTTATGTAACATTTACATTGTTATAAGTAATCTAGGTGATTTAAAGTATACAGGACAACACGCAAAGTTTATATGACTTGAGCTTCCTCAAATTTTGGTATCCAAGGGGATCTTGAAACCAATCCCCCATGCATACCAAGTATATCAGCCATAAAAAGGAATCCAACTCATATGTAATACACAATAATATAAATGAAACTTAAAGACATTTTGCTAAGTGAAATAATCCAGACCCAAAAGGCCAAATATTCTATGATTCCGTTCATGTAAGGTACTGGAGAATAATCAAATTCATAAAGACAGAAAGTAGAATGGTGGTTGCCAGGACCAGAGGAGTCAGCGGGTGGGATGTGGAAAACATGGGAGAGAGGCAGAATAGGAAGTTACCGTTTAATGGACACAGAGTTTCCGTTTGGGAAGATAAAAATGGTTCTGAAGATGAGATGAATGGTGGTAACGGTTGTACAACAATGTGAACAGACTTAATGCTACTGAATTATACACTGAAAATGTTTAAAAGGGTAAATTTTATGTGTTTTGCCATAGTAAAAACAATTGAATATATTTTTTAAACCTAGAGTTAATATGCTTATTTGTAAAAGACTAAACACTTCTGGCCGGGCGCGGTGGCTCAAGCCTGTAATCCCAGCACTTTGGGAGGCCAAGGTGGGTGGATCACGAGGTCAAGAAATCAAGACCATCCTGGTCAACAAGGTGAAACCCCGTTTCTACTAAAAATACAAAAAGTTAGCTGGGCATGGTGGTGCGTGCCTGTAATCCCAGCTACTCAGGAGGCTGAGACAGGAGAATTGCCTGAACCCAGGAGGCGGAGGTTGCGGTGAGCCGAGATTGCGCCATTGCACTCCAGCCTGGGTAACAAGAGCGAAACTCCGTCTCAAAAAAAAAAAAAAAAAGACTAAACACTTCTGCCCTATAATTTGACACAAAGATGTCTACACTCACTACTTCTATTCAGCATTGTACTGGGGATCCTAGTAGTGCAAGGAGGCAGCAAAAAGAAATTAAAGGCATAAAAATTTAAAGAAGTAAAACTATCTTTACTGACAGATGACCTAATTATATGCACAAAACAAAATCCTAAAGAATCTATCAAATCACCATCAGAGTTAATAACTAAATTTAGCAAGATCATAGATACAAGGTCATCAAAAAATCAACTGCATTTCTATAAACAGTAACACATATAATGACATTTTGGTCAACAACGGACTACACAGGCTGGACGCAGTGACTCACGCCTATAATCCCAGCACTTTGGGAGGCCAGGGTGGGTGGATCATTTGAGGTCAGGAGTTCGAGACCAGCCTGACCAACATGGTGAAACACTGTCTCTACTAAAAGTACAAAAATTATCTGGACATGGTTGTATAGGCCTATAGTCACGCTACTCGGGAGGCTGAGACAGGAGAGCTGCTTGAACCTGGGAGGCAGAGGATGCAATGAGCTGAGATTGCACCAGTGCATTCCGGCCTGGGCAACAGAGCAAGACTCTGCAAAAAACAAAAACAAAAATAAAAAAACAAAGGGCCACATATACAATGGTGGCCCCATAAGATTACAATGGAGCTATAACATTCCTATCACTTAGGGACAACATAGCTATCATAACATGGAAGCACAAGTAATTTCTTTTTTATAAATTTAGTGTAGCCCAAGTGTGCAGCGCTGATAACATCTTGTATAAAGTAGCAAACAGGAATGTCCTCAGCCTTCGCATTCAGTCATCACTCACTCACTGACTCATCCAGAGCAACATCCAGTCCATTCATGGTCAAACAGGCATCCCAGATTTTCTCTCTTAGACTGTGTTATTACTGC